GCTGAAATTGTGAAATTATAATTATTAAAAAAGGTATAAATATAATAATTAACATATTGAAAATTAGAACTTATTAAAAAAGGTAAGTTAATTATTGTAGTGGCCGAAATTGTAGTAATACTTATTATAATTATTATATTTATAATAATTATAAAATGGCCAAAAGGTAAGTAAATAATTGTGATGTTAAAATGGTAAGTGGCTGAAATTGTGGATTTAAAATTATTTAAAAAGGTATAAATATAATAATAGCTATTATTTTTATAATAATTAATGTGAGTAATATAAAAAGGTAAGTTATACAAATCCAAAGCGTATGTTTTTAATATAGGTAAGTTATACAAATGCAAAGAGTAAGTTTTTGAAAATTGGAAATAATTAAAAAGGGTAAGTTATACAATTATACACCCAGTTTCGAAAAAAATAATTATGGTAAGAATAATTACACCCAATTTCGAAAAAAGTTAACCCTTCTTATTATAATTATAATTATAATAGCCTATAGCCTATTACAATTAAATATACTATAAATATCCCCACAAATTGTACAATAATGTAGTCTATAAAGAAGTCTTTCGAATTTTGTAAAATAATGATGTTTTTAACCTTAAAATAATATAATCTCTATATTTTATTGCATCTCATTTTTATCATTGAAAAATAATTTGAATTTAATAACATAAAAATGACCCGTGCAACGCACGGGTGTGATACTAGTATAACGAGCCAAACATAGTAAACTATCTATTTTATTGAGCTACATCAAATTTTCTTTTTGATTCTTTCCACAAAATGTTTAAATTTCCTATTTAGAAAAGATATCGTGTAGCTCATATATCCATATCTTCTATGTATGGATTTTTACAATATATTCATTTTATTTCACTTTAATTTTTACTTGATTAATTTTAGTTTACTTTCAATTCAATTTACTTAAAAAATCAGTGTATATTTAGAAAATAAAATCTACCCCCGAGTATAGATTTAAAAATTACTCTACCTGCAAATGAAAATCTTTAGAAAATAAAATACTTACGACATTACGATAAAGTTTTATTAAACGAGCTAGTAACAAAAGTACGCGCGCAAAAAATAAAGAAGATAAAGTTTGACAGATATAGACCGAAAAAAGAAATTGAAATATACGAAGAGGTAATTCCGCATGTGTGTTGTAAACAAATTTAGTATGAAATTTACTGTGGTGGATGAACAATTATGTCATGTATAAAATTAGCAAATTAGTATTTACTAGTTATAATTAACGTATATAAATCCCACACTTCTCCTATGTCCAGTAATTGCATGTATAGCTAGACAGCATAGTATAGTAGTGTTATAAAAAAAAGTTTAGAGATATATAAATATATACTTAATTATTATTAAAGAATAAATAATAATAATGGTGGCTTACAATAGTGTTGTGTTTAGGCGCCTAATTATTATGGTTTTAGTATGTGTAGCAGTGCATGGAGGTGAAGGGCGGATAGGGAAGACTTATAATGTGCTTCGTTTTGGTGCTCTTCCTGATGGCAAAACTGATTTTAGTCAGGTTGGTGTATGTGTTTGTTTGTGTTTACAATACTTTTGGTACACAGAATTCAAAATATGTAATTAGAATTAAAGACAATAATTCTAATTCTGCTGTTTGATAGCACAAAAATATGTAGATTAGGAATTGGTAGTGCCAAAAAATAAATTGAAATTAGAGAATTCAATTCTATCTAAATCAATTTCATAGAATTTCAAATGTTAATTCAATTTCAATTCCGTTAATTCTATGTACCAAACCGGCCCGTACAAGAAATGTACATGTAGTACGCACTAAAACGTTAAACTTACACTCTGCTTCGTCTGTGGAAGTTTTTATTCTAAATTTATTTAATTTTTTTAGCTGAAAGATATCTTTTCATCATCTTTTTTTAATATTGAAATACAAGTACCATTAAGATCACTTTTTTTTATTTAAAATTATTACAGTCCATCCACTTCAATTAACATACTCCACTCACTTTCATTAAAGGTACAGAAAGTGAACATTTACATTGTTTTCCGATCTACTCTCCTTAAAATGTATGAAAAGTCAATCTCAAAAGATCATCTTGAGATGAAGGGGCATTAAAATAAGACTATTTATGTTCATATGCAATGCAATGCCACAACTTGGCACTTTATGTTGACCTTTTATATTGTCTTTTAATTTTGTATAACATATTGATACTCATGGGCATTATTATACGTCACATTTTAGTATAAAAACATGTCCAGATTGAAAATCTTACGGTATTTTAGTATAAATAAAATACTCCCTTTGTTCTATACTTTTTTCTGTTTTGACTTTTCATGATTCCCAATGTAATTAGTGACTCCCTGTATATATAAAAGATTATATAAAAATTTGATATTCTAAAACTAAGTTTCAAAACGAATCTATAGATTTGAATTTTTTAAACCAACTGAAAGTAATTCATTAATTAATCCAGAAAAGGAGAAATGTAATTTACTCCCTCCGTCCGGATTTTAAGTTCCCAGTCTACGCTTTTTTCCGTTCGGAAATAAGGTTCACAGTCTACGTTTTCATACACAATCTTCCTAAATTACCCCTCCCTCATCCTTTCTCGTCATTCTCGGCATGCCATCCCACACAGCACCACACAGGTATTTTCTCTCTCTTCCCTCCCCCTTTCCTCTTCCTTTCCCGTCTCCTTTCTCTGTCTTCCTCTTCCTTCCTCCTCCTTCTTCCACTCTTTCTCTCTCTCTTCCTCTCTCCTTCCTTTTCTTCTCCTCGTCATCTTCTTCCTCCTCTTCCTTCTTCTTCTTTCCATTCTTTTCTTGCTAGATCTAGCCTTCTTTTTGTCATTTTCTTCTTCTATTAGAGTTGGATCTCGTTTTTTTTCAGATCTAAAAATTTAGAGATACATTTGTGCGGGGTTGCCGGCGATGGTGTCGGCGGTGGTGATGGTGGCGAGTGGAGCTGACGGCGGTGGCGATTTGCACCTCCAGATCTGTTTCCTC